AATTTACGCTTTGAAAAATTTTATCTAATCTGTAGTGTCTCTTCATTTAGGCTTGGCCACTGGCCCGCAACAACTCCTATTTTCAACATTTTGGCCCACGAGTTAATCATAGCCAAATTACCAATCAATTTCAAGGTCTCCTCGGTTTTTTCAAGGTTGTCTCGGAGCAATACTGAAACAAGATTTTTAGCCTTGTTCAAGGGTGTACAGAGCACACAAGGTACTTCATTCGTGCCACACATGTAGGTACACCAGCACAGATATGGTTTTGTTTTTTTTTACATTTTTTTGTAAACTTTGTGGTAGAGGTGAGCAAACTGTAATCCTGTCTGTTGTGGACCTGTAAACTTAGTTGAATAGCCCTGACTTATAGGAAAATGTCCCGAGTTCTGTGATGCCAATTCTAACATTTGCATCTAACATTCCTTACATTCTCTCCCCTTCCTTCCAACTGATAGATCTTTAAAACATCACAACTGACAAGACAGAAAATAATAATACTTTATTTACAAACATGTGCATTAAATGGTTGTTTCCTACATAATGTTCATGACATGACATTGCATTATGGGTAGCTGCCTTGCACATCAGAACAATTCTATACGACAATGACGAAGGAGGGGCCAAGTCGCTTTCAAATTAAAATTATTAATTTGCGATGGAATCTGACAAGTTAACAGCACTGTCACAATCAAACAAGACTGTCCTTTGGGTGGCATCACAGAGCAGACAGTATGATGATGTTGTCATCACAGAGCAGACAGTATGATGATGTTGTAAGAACATAACACAGTGATTCCCAAACTGCGCTGCTGCACCCCGGAGTACTCAAAGATACACATGTTTTATTTGTTTTGATCTCTTACATACGAAGTCACATTTTTACTTAGGTTAAGGCTGAAAAAAGGCGCCGCGACTAAGAAAAGTTTGAGAAAAACTGACATAACACATGGCTACCTTGCGAGTGCTCCGCTGTAATGATGACACAAGCTTATGACCAGCAAATTGTGAAATGCATAGTAATCTTCTACGCAATCTGGACATCAACAAAGTAACTGTGCCAATTGACATGTGTCACATTTCTATCGCAAATGAAGTTTCAACTGGAAGACAACCCTTTCATAGTTAACATCAAATATATTGGGCAAGCATGCCAAATGAAAGATAAACTAGACATTATCAATTAACAAAATAACATTTAAAAATACTTTATCAACGAAAGTTTTACAGACATAACCTGTTCTTTTGTAAAAATCTATTTATTGCTTATGCCGCAGTTTATTAGATGATTGGCAGCTGAGCCAGGGTGCGCTTAGTCACTTGATATATTGTGTAGTCTCAAGGTGTCAGTGACTCCTTCAATCCATTTTCTTGGTCTTTCCCTGCCTCTTGGTGTTTTGATTTTCAGGTTGTACACTCTTGCTGCTGGCATCGTTGGTTTCTTTCTCTTTAGATGGCCAAACCATTTCATTCTTCGTGTCTCAATAAATCTGACTATGGGTTTTGTTCCAACAGTTCTTGTGATCACGTCATTTCTCACTTGACTCTTCTGGTTTTATTCTCAGCCATTCTTAAACATCGCATCCCACAGGTGGTTGGTTTTCTCTAGTGTTCTTTTGTCAATGTCCAAGACATTGGTAACCTAAAGTCGGTATAAATATTGCATTTATAATTTGTCTTTGTCTCTATTGCGATAGGAGGGTGTTTAAAAATGGGAATAGGTTGGTATGTGACATTGTTGGCTTCTTGTTTATATCTTGTTAGTTTCACCATTGTATGTAAAAATGCTTCCCAAGTATTTAAATTCTTCCACTTGTTTCAAACTGATTTTTATGTCTATAGTTTGTTGCTCTCTACTTCTTCTCAATATTGATCTTCATGTGATGTTTAAGGCAACTGTCATGTAGCTGATGTGTTTACTTTCACTGTGGAATATGAACTGATCATCGGTAAAGAGCATTTCATTAAAGTCCTCCAGTTTATCATCATCTGTTAGTGTTGTCTCTTTTATTAATACTGTCCATGAATATTATAAAAAGCAAAGGCGAAAGAATCACCCCCACCTTACTCCTGATGTTACTATGAACCAGTCTGTGAGGCCAGCTCTTGTTCTGATGGCGCAAAAACTTTCTCTATAAATAGCTCTTAAGTCTAGCAGTGCTCCGTTACACCAAAGTTTTTAAGGACATCCCTTTAGTAAACTTCTATTCAGCCCTTCCATTTTTTTCACTGAGGATCTCACTTTGTAAGGCAACCTAGATACCAGGTTTCAAATTTAAATATATTTTTACTTTTACAATGATGTTCAGATAACCATTTAAAAATCAGGATACTTCTATTTTCAGCTAATTATTAGCTTTATTTGCCCCTTGAGTTTTTTGTGTGTATTCGCTAAGCTTCCCATTCATATTTCACATTCGACAAACCAACTGATTAATACACATTTGATAACTCAGTCTCACTCATTCACTTTTGACATTGGGCCACTTTCAGCCACTCATATTTTTAGCACCTTCCAATGAAATAACCAAGTTGGCCAAACTCACTGCTCGCAGGCAACACCCATTACATCACTTACAAACAAACAAACAAACCACACACATTACATCACTTACAAACAAACAAACCACACACATTACATCACTTACAAACACAAACCACACACATTACATCACTTACAAACAAACAAACAAACCACACACATTACATCACTTACAAGCACAAACAAACAAAAACAATGAAACCACTGCTGAGGCAGCTGCTGTCAATTTGCCATAACTGCATAATTTATATGTACAAACAAGAATTCAACTCCCCAAATACATCAGCACCATTTCATGAGGGGAACAAAAATAAAGCATGAAATACTGTAACTCAACCTCTGAGCCACATTACTCATTCACAGGTACATATTTATGTGAAACAATACATCAAGCTTTGAAAAAAAAAAAAACTGGAAAGAACTCGGTTAAACAACACAGTTAACTACTAATAATTACATAGCAAGTTCACCTGCTAGTCTTTCTGGGGTTCAGATCTGCATCAAATCAGTTTTTATTCTTTTAAATGACGTCATTTCCCAGACTGACCCAGTCTTCAATGGACACCAGGTGACAAGTCTGGGGAAGTCAAGACTGCCAGTGTGATACTAACCCTATCATCCGTGACAGGATTATAACAAACACAAATCTGCCATCATATGCTTGATGCACTACTGGCTTGGAAAAGGTCCTTAACCTTAAAACTACACTGTGCATATCTGCCATGACCTTGATTTGCAGAAATGCCTGTATAAGCATTCAGCCTAACCATCCCTATTTGTTTTTCCCTATTGAAGAGACAGACGGGAAAAACTATACAGCACTCTATACGAATCACCCTGGAAAGCCATTGTAAACCTTCAGCAACAGTGTAATTAAAGTTTTCAACAGCAAAAAACTGCCTATACAATTAAATGCCAACTCATGGTCATTAGTTCCAATTTCCAGTCAAAGCAGTTAAAAAAAAAAAATTCTCCCTCACTAAAAGCACCAGGAAAGAGTCCCAACGCTGCGCTGACCACGCACCCTACAAGTGCCAATTAGTGGAGGGAGGGGAGGGGTGGAATAGAACACTACACACCCCCTTACCTCAAAGTATGGAACAATTTGAGAAATCAATTTTTTTTTAAAAATGTCAGCCAGCCCCAACAAAGACAATGTAAAAACAACTTAGGTTGTTACCTATTTCCTGAGGTTACAGAAGTGCTCATTGCTGTGTTAGTAAAAACCACCAAAGACATAATAATCTGGATATCGCGGGGAAGTATGGTCAGTCCTAACTCTTTGGAATGTAGGATGCTTAAACCTGAGCCAATATAACAAAATAAGAAGAGAAAAAGACTGCAGAAACTGGTATCAGACACACATGAATGCCCAAAGTGGCCAGGGCTGGGTCATTGGGACAAGCACCGATGTTTTGAATAAAAGCTGGCACATATCCAGGAAATACTACTGGTGGATAACTGGGACATGTACCACTGGTGGATAACTGGGACATGTACCACTGGTGGATAACTAGAATATGTACCACTGGTGGATAACTACAATATGTACCACTGGTGGATAACTAGAATATGTACCACTGGTGGATAACTAGAATATGTACCACTGGTGGATAACTGGGACATGTACCATTGGTTGAAACACTACTTATTTCCTAGTGGTGGAACACGCTACATGCCACTAGTGGATAAATGGGACATGAGCCAACTGTGGATAACCAGAAACACCTTATCCCTGCTGGTAAATAACTAGAACCATCTAGTGTAGGGTCATTCCACCGGCGGCACACCGAGGCCTTGCCAGTGGATCACTGCCAACTGTATTGTATTTGTGATCTTTCTATGCTAGAGCCAGGACTAGGGACGATCATTATTTTTAACACGGCCATGGGTAAACCTGGCTGAAGGGCCCAGCTCTAGTGCCCGATAAAACAGGGTCTCTAGTGCCCGATAAAACAGGGTCTCTAGTGCCTGATATATCAGGAAATCTAGTGCCTGATATAACAGGGACTCTGGTGCCAGATATATCAGGGTGCTCTAGTGCCAGATATATCAGGGTGCTCTAGTGCCAGATATATCAGGGTGCTCTAGTGCCAAATATACCAGAATGCTCTAATGCCGGACATAACTGGGACTCTAGTGCCACAACGAGCCGGCTCAGTCGTGGATAGCTACAACCCACTACTGCCACATGAGTAGTAACTATCCAGAGCTCCCACCCCCGCTCCGACTCAATGACATAACAACAGAACACATACATAAACCAAGGACTTTTACAACCTTACAGCAAGCCTGCCCACACATCATCATCAATCAGCAAGTCCTTTACAGAACATCGCTCTCTTCACTCACACCACGCCTGAAAGTATTCCTTCCCTAGCCAGCTCTCGGGCCCCATCTCCTGCCCACAAAATACATCAATTCCTCACAATCACACACAAAATTCTAGTGCACACAATCATTCCATAGTCTGTACAATCTGTGATCTGTGTTCAATGATCCTTGCAGCATTCTGTTGTTCAATGAAGTGTGCAGCGGCCTCGGCTGCCTGGGGATCCTCCTTCATTGTGGCAATATATGTGGCCTTGGTGCGAAAACGCTGCAACTGGCTGCTGTCAACTAAATGGATTTCGTCCGCGCCGACAAGTCGGCTCAGCTCCGCTGCCGTATAGCCGACTAACATCTGCAGGTCACAGACAAATTTGTAGACAAATCTTTTACCGTGGACCTGCAGAGGATAACAAATCTTTTAGTACGAAATTGTAGATGAATTACAAATGTCAAGAACTTTCCCTTTTTGTTTTCCCCTATCTCTGCTTCTATACATCTTTCCAGCTTTGGACAACAAAGTCACCACTGCCCCTCTCTGATACCTGTGAGTGGTTACCTATAAAGACACCTATAAAATGATTTGTCCACTTAGATAATGCCTTGCGACACCATACCAAATAATGCATACACCAAAACAGGGATATTTGGCAGATCTTGAGGTAGACCAAAAATTCCTTTAAAATGCCTGAGAGGCAAGGAACCAACAGCCTGCATAGGAAAAAAAGCCAAATCTGTAAAACGGGAGCAGAGGCAAAACTCAGGTACTGGAACAAAGCCCAGGTCCAAAAATGGACAAACAACCAGGTCCTTCCGCCAGGGTTTACAACCGGCAAATGCAAACAAAGGGAATCTGTGAAACACTACAATGTGTCCGCGTCTGAGGCAGTCAAATGAGCAGGAAACAGAACCTTATAACTCCAAAGCAGTGCAAGATGTGAAAAAAAAAAAAAAAAGAGTAGCTACTGTAACCTTTTTTTTGTATATCTGCATTGCATATTTTTAACACAACACACTGAGTCATGTTGAGTTTGTAGTTAATGCATGGGCTGCTCTCTAAAAATATGAACCAAGTATCAAGAGTCCAACATTCCTCAAGGTGGAAATTCATCCATTAACTCTTTCCGCTCCTGAATTCAGCTTCTTCTCTAGTATTTCAGCATCAGGTTTTGAAAAGGCATCAAACGCGGGCCTTGGTATCTGCTTGGTCTATCCATCGCTTGCATAGTCAACCTCTTGTACTGCTTCTAATGTGTCTAGTTGATAGAGATCTCTGTAGTGCAATATCTGGTGGTAGTCCTGACACAAGACACTGTACCAGACAGCTGGACACAGAGATGCCATAACAGCTGTGTCCAGGTGGCAGGGCTCTCTGTGGCAGCCCCAAGACAGGACAGTGCACCAGTGAGCCCTGCCACCTAGAGATTATTCAACAGCTGTACAAAAACATTTAGTAAAACACATGGCAGAAGGCTGTGGACAGTGATCAAAATCACATGGCATAGTCTGTCTTATATAATTCATAACTGCATTGTAAACCAATCTAGTCATACTTGTCAAATCCCCTCCTTTAGCCCCAAATGCTGCCAATACAAAAAGGTTACAGAATGGAGAGTCATTTTTAACACAAATAGAGAAGATTTAAAAAGAATACATCAGTGAAGCCATGGTTCTGTGACTATTAAAGGCAATTATATCTTTTATGGGCACTGTGGGGTAATGGTGGGTTATGATCTGAAGATAAAATGGAGATTAAAGTTAGAATAACTTCCACTGATGCCACAAACTGTGCAGGTAAGAATTTTATTTGCTGCCCAATTAAAAAGGTTACAGAATGGAGAGTCATTTTTAACAAAAATAGAGAAGATTTAAAAAGAATACATCAGTGAAGCAATGGTTCTGTGACTATTAAAGGCAATTATATCTTTTATGGGCACTGTGGGGTAATGGTGGGTTATGATCTGCAGATTAAATGAAGATTAAAGTTAGAATGACTTCTACTGATGCCACAAACTGTGCAGGTAAGAATTTTATTTGCTGCCCAGTCTCCGGTATTTAAGCTCTAGGCTCTAATCAACACAAATAGCTATAAAAATGACACTAACCTTAGAAATCATATCACCGTCATAATAATATCTTAGCGCCCTAGACAGCTTTTCATAGTTCATGGTTGGCTTATTTTTGCGCTGCCCCCACATCCTGGCCACCAGTTCTGGGTTGATGAGCTTGAACTCCCCATCAGTGCCGAGCCAAGTGATCACCTCCCGACACATCCTGTCTGTCAACAGCTCTAGGAGAAACTGCCACAGTTGGATCTGGCCGTTGTTGCCTGAAACAGAAGCACACCCTAGGTTACCAACAATCGCAACTTTCAGACAGGAACTGTCACAGTATAAGCAAGAAGAAAGCGGTTGTGGATATTTTGTTAGAAATCGTATCAGACTTGACTTCTAGATTATTCCTTTACTTCAAAACCCCCTAGCCACCACTTTTCAGTGAATCCACTGCAGCAGGGTCACTCCCATGTGGCTCAACCAGTCTGCGCAGAGTGGCTAGTTATCCACAGCAGTGTCACACAAAGCACAAACTCTGCAACTCTAGCAATGACCACCTGGGAGCACAAATAAACCTGCAAGCATAAATGTAGTGGCAGTTCATAAGACTATTTGAACCAGATTATTTAGACTAGCAGATTAGAGTTGCGATATAATAATATTAAGACTGCTAGTAAGTTTTTATCTTTCTGTTGTTTTGTTTCCTATTTGTTTCTGTTCTTTGCCCCTACCTCAAAATAAAGCATTGCCAACCAATCCAATTGCTGATTTGTTGGGCTCACAGTTCACCTTGTCTGCTAGGGTGTTTTCAACAAAAAAAAATGAGAGAAAAAAGAGAAAAGGCAGAGAGCAGCAATGCAATGGATAATACAATGGCAGCGAGGAAGTGGTGGAAAAAGAGGCACTTGGAGGCGAATTTTTTAGGCTGAACTAAAGGCTATGCAAAGGACAAAACTAGAAATAGTGAGGATGGCTCAGGGTTGAATTAAGTGGCGACAGTCTGTCTCTGCCTTATGTGCCTCTGGGCTTAATGAGGATTGACATTCCCAGACTATAATAAAAATCTGGCAACCCATCTCATGCTTGAAACAATTCAAAAACAAATTAAATTATAAATTATTCAAAAAAGAAAAAATGCTGTTTACGAGAACAGTACTACCCTTGTAGTGAATCTCAATTCACTGCAGTTTCCTAGAAATAAAAAGAATGTCCAAGTCTGGCAACCAAGATGCAGACAAATTCACAACCGACCCCACTAAAATAATGTAATTTTCACCAAATCGTGCATGGACAATGTAATATCCCTGAAGTGTGATAGTCAAGACACTGACTAACAATTCCTACACTACATATGACTACCTAGATCATTGTTATGTGGTTAATTTCCCCTAAGTGTGGGAGTACAAGATGAGGACACACCCCCAATGCCTGACATAATTATGCAACTTCCTCAAGTTGTGGTAGTCAGTGTACAGACCACTGATAAGTCTGCGCACCAACATAACCCAACTTCCTCAAGTTGTGGTTGCCAGTGTACAGACCACTGATCAAGTCTGCCCACCAACATAACCCAACTTTCTCAAGTTGTGGTAGCCAGTGTACAGACTACTGATCAAGTCTGCCCACAAACATAACCCAACTTTCTCAAGTGCAGTAGTCACATCACAGACAAAAATGTGTTTACCTGTTCTGTTTCCTGGAGATAGCCGATCTTCACCCACCAGTCGAGGCCTGTGTCTGGCAATTGCTTTCACTCTTCCTGTAATCACAGCAACAACAAAAAAGATAAATGATCACACTATAAACATCTGTTACACATCACACAGTAAAATATGTTTCATTCCTGTGCGGGGTTCCGTGGCCTCATTGTGGGAAAAACAAGAATAAACAGTCTTCCCTACAAGTATGTCACGACTTCGAATTCTTGTGCATATGTCTCACAATCAGAACTTTCCACCAAAAAAGAAAAGAAGTTTCAGTCTTCTGAATATTTCCCATTTAATTCATTTGTGGCGGTGCACCAAGACCAGTGCTCACACAGGTTAAGACATCCACAGTCATCCTAGAGACAGGTTTCCTACTGGAGAACTGACCAACGCTAACAGGATGGGTGCTCCCTTTGAGGTCAGAATGCATCTGCCTGACAGGCAAAAAAATATTCTGCACATAAATAAGTCAGAATGTAAAACGGATGTGCGTGCTTCTTCATTTTTTCGTTCGCTTGGATGTGCATGCAAAACCACAGACCTGGAACACAAAGTCCAGATGTGGATGAACCAGAACTTTCTGTGCTATATTCATGTCTGTCATTGACCAAATTGGTACTAATACAACACCTTTGACCCAACAGGCGACTGTCTAGCCACTAGGCTACTACAGCCTGTAGTCTTACATGTTGACTATTTCTATCCACACAACTCTGCTATACAAAGATTACTACACAAGACACACTAACCACCGGTTATCATGTTTTCTTATCACAAGAGACACTAACCACCGGTTATCATGTTTTCTTATCACAAGACACCCTAACCACCAGTTATATTATTACAAGACACCCTAACAACCAGTTATGTTATCACAAGACACCCTAACCACCAGTTATGTCATCTTATCACATGACATGCTAACCACCAGTTATGTTATCTCATCACAAGACACCCTAACCACCAGTTATCATATCATAAGACACCCTAACCACTATTTATCATATCTTATCATAATACACCCTCTGGCTATCATATTATCTTACAAGATACCCTTACTACTGGTTATCATATTACCTTACCGTATCTTCCATCCATGTCAGACGGAACTGTAATTGTCACTGTATGCATTGGCTGCTGCATCACAGCTGAAATAATACATTGTTGCAATAAGATAGTTGCACAGGATAGTCAATGTCTGGTAAGAAAGTTTACATACAAATATTTCCGTATGTGGATTCTGTGGCCCCACTGTAGGGAAAACAATAGACCAAATGTCTCCCAAATAAACATGCCATAAAAGTCGACAAACTGTGGGGCAGCTTTTTAAGTTAGGGTGCATCTGCTTGAATAGCAAGGAACCAACAGTCTGCATACCAATGTCAGATCTGTAGATGGGATGTGTATGCAACATTCAGGCTCTGGTACAAGATTACAGTCCAGAGGTGAATGAACAACCAGAACTTTACAGCTGGTGAACGCAGGGAAAGAAAATATAAACACTGGGGGAAGACTCAGGAGAAAAAACAGACGTGCACACACAATCTAGGAGAGGTCATCAGATAAAAAAAATCAATTGTGAGATTTTAATGCACAAGAAATACATGTGAAATAAAATGGAAAGGACCTTTATTACATAAAAGATACCCGTGACACATGGTGCCACAACCATAGTTTAATTAACCAATAGTGTTTAAATGTAATGTCTGGGTACAGCAGTAATCACTGCTAAAGGAAGCCCAATGACAGATACTACCACGGTGAGGTTAAGCCTTTACATATCCAACAAATAAAGTGGCATGGTCAGTCGCTTCCTTCTCTATATTCATAAATAATTCTGGAAAATATCTGGTTTCTTCCCTTTTTTATGCGTGCGATTTTGTGACATAACTGTGCATGATTATAGCTAAGTTGAGCCTTTCAGCTGACACACCTAACTTCATCAGCATTTACTGACCGGGTTAACTTCCCATATTTTTGAGGGATGTGGCGTAGCCTTATTTGTGTGATGTTCTCTTTGTCCTCATATCTACAGGTGCTACCCTAAGACTGAGCAATTCAAAACCGTACAGATGCATATGAATTATAAAAAAAATAATCTTTTGGACAACCTGTCCATTTTCAGCTAATCCATCTCCAATTAATTGTGATATATGACAAATATGTGATATATGACGAGGAGACATTTTTCGGCCATGTTATGAGAAGAGAAAAAAATGGAACATGTGATTACTGGAAAGATCTGTGGAAGGAGGGATAGAGGAAGACAAGATTGTTGAGTCTTGTTGCATGGCATGGAGGTGTGTCAGTCCATGAATTGATACATGCTGCAGGTGATCGCAGATTTTGGAGAGGTATGATCGCCCAAACCAGTCAGCGAGGCACCTGATGATGTGACATGCTCGTTATGTGACAGTGTGTCTCCTCCTCATCTCACCACCCCCCCTTCCCCAACCCAAGAGCACTAAATATCCCACAGAGGGCTTCCAGCAAACAGTTAGCAGCCTGATATCAATGCAGCCAGTGACTCACCAACAAACTTGCACTTCCGAAGCAACTCCAGGTGCGTCCAGAACAAGTCACCAGGATCGTGTGGAATGTGCTGTATAAACTCCGGGTGGGACATCGTAAAGAGCTGCTCCCCATCAAAGTTGAAGGCACCAACGTCAACTCCTTGCAGGTGAAACTCTTTTACAGCCCACTGCAGCCAGTGCTTGACGTGAAGTTCGCTCCACTGACAAGGGTCTGTGGAACAGATGAATAACTATCAACTCTAGTTTTATCAGCACAGTAGCAAGTATTTGGGTCCAACTGAGAACAATGGCGACTACAACAACAAAAAATGCAAATGCAACAACATAAAAGACACAGAACTTATGGCATAGAAGGGCAGACAAGTCAATTTTTTTAAATCATGCATCCTTCCTGTGTCCGGAAGTCATAGACTAATTCTTTACAGAAAAAGGTGGACCAGCTAAACTGAAACACTACAGAAAAATTCTTAGAAACCTGCAGACCAAGAAGAACTTTGACATGATCTGAACATTAGGAACTGGCTCATAAACAGCATCCTGTCCCAGAAGCGAAGGTATTTTGGCCATGTTACACAGCACGGTGGCTTGGAGAGAATTAGGATCGCATGCCGTTTCTGGAAAATGGTGCAAAAGCTGACCTCTGTAAACATGGATTCAAGACAAATAAGACGAATTAGCTATAAAAGTACACATGGACGAGGGAAGTGGGTGGCTATAAAAGTAAAAAAGTAAATAGGGACAGGGAAACCGGCTGGCTGGGTACACGATGGGATAAGTGGCTGGCTATAACAGTCCACAGGGACAGGGAAAGTAAGTGTCTATGAAAGTACACAGGGACATGGAAACTAGCTGGCTATAAAAGTACACAGGGATGGGATAAGTGGCTGGCTATAACAGTCCACAGGGACAGGGAAAGTAAGTGTCTATGAAAGTACACAGGGACATGGAAACTAGCTGGCTATAAAAGTACACAGGGACCAGGAAGGTTGCTGGCTAGAGAAAGAAAGATTTACAGGTGTGCTGTGAAGAGAGCGAGGTACAGAACCCCCGGATTGATAGTGATGATGAACAACCTAGTGCAATCTCTTGATAAATATTAATATTTACACGTCTCAAATTGAAATTGTGCCTTGTTTGCAAGAAAACTAGAGAGAAAAAATTGAAGAGAATATTGCGAACAAAGGAAAAAAAGGCATTAAAACAATTGTGTGGCTTCACAATGGAGGTTGAAATGTACCCATTGCTAACTATGGAAATACATAGTGACGTATCAATCTCTTCTGTGGTGCAACCTACAGATATTAAAAGGTGCTGCTGAATCCATTACTAAAACTAAAAGGAACTGAAATATATGGTATTTAAATTTTAGATGTAACCTACCAGCTGGAATCTTCAACCTCTCCTGATCTCGACGAAAGCCCTGATCAATAACCCATTTTGTGACATTCTCTGTCTCATCAGATAACGGCACCACCCTGGAACCTTGACTGTGGTCTGACTCAATGTCGTTTTCTGCAACTGAAATTAACAATTAACTAAAGGTCATTAGAGATCAGGAATGATGTGACCTTAAATCTAGTCAACATTTCATAATAGTATTTCTCACAGCAGTTATAACTAGCATTTAATCCATCCAATAATCATAGCACCATTGGAAACTGCATTGAATCCATTTAATAATCACACAGCAGTAATAATTACCTCTCCACAGCATAAAGCCTAGGCAGTATTGTAGAGACAACCTGTCTTGTTTACCCATAAGAAAAAGTAACACCAGTACGTCTGATGTAGCCGCAAAAGCCGCCAGGTAGGTGTTCTATTGGTCCGCATGTTGGAGCTTTCCTCCTAGACTAGCTTAGGCTAAAAGCCTGGTCTGTTCTGTCGTAAGTGTTTTTAGGTTGCATTTCTTTTTTCTGGGATAAGGCTACATCCTCACCAATGCACTCCTCTGCAACGTTACATTCACTATATTCTGTCGGGCCACAAGCTGGTTCAAACAATCTTCTTCAGTTCCTCTTTTACCGCTGTGGGTGTCGAGGGAGATATAAGGTTCTGTTTCTAGCTCTTCTGGCTGCCTCGACCATAGGCACATCGTGCTGTTGTAGAGTTTCTCTGATGTTATCCTTCCATCTTGTTCTTGGTTCAAACAATGATCCCGGGTAATTTTGTGGGGGTAAAATTTCAATACTGCCCTTGACCCAGCCTAAAACTGGCCACCGGCTAATGGCCTTAGAAGTAAAGGCAGGCATACACCATATTGACCACATCACCCGAAGGTGCTGATTGGTCTACAAGGATCTAAGTCTGGAATCGTATGTTTCACGCCATTGGCAAAAAAAAAAGGGTCCTATACATTTTGTTTTTACAGCAACACAGATATCATAACCACCATTTCAAACCAACATGTCGTTCACACAAGAAATATATTCTATATTTCTCACATCCAGACTATTGCTCTACAATATGGGAGGGCTGTTCTAGTTCTGTTATCAAGCGGCTCACATCCCTGCGCCCTTTCGCTTAAAAAGTAGTTATGGAATAGTGAGTTCCGAAACATTTAAAGGTCTTATGCTATCACCGCTTCGTAAATGTCTACTTATCAAAAAGGCAAAAGGTGCTCAAAATATGATCCTAAAAGGCACCATGTTACTAACCGCCATTGTTTAAATATTGTGGAAGGCATGGTAAACGCCTAAACATATTAAAAATCCCTAAACCCAGGATAGATCTATACAAAATGAGTATACATATAATTGACAACTTTGAATATTATCTGAGCAGACTGCATGTGCCCATAAAAGATTAAAAATATCTTGACGGTCTAAATAACTTTAAGCATGCTTATGTAAAACTACATCTATAGTTCTTCCATGAATTTTTTTTTAGCTTGTAAATTTGATACTGTTCTGCTTGTTTACTGTTCAGGATTCTGGTTCTTCTCATGCATTCATCATAAAAATGGCAGCTGGCATATCCTGTTGTGGTTTACAACCAGGCTGTGATTTCTCCACCTTTCAGCTCAACAATAAGTACCCTTTATGACATGCTTGTTAGATGGTAGTTACTATATTCTTTTCCCCTCAAAATGGGGCTGCGAAACCCATAGGCAGAGTCCAGGATTGATAGAAGTAGATATTTACAATGTCTACTCACCATATTTGTCTTCCATTTCTTCTTCGGCAGTTTTGAGAATATCCAGAATGTTAATTTTCGGCTGGACCCCCGGCTGTGACTTGATCTCCAGATTCACCTGAACCATCCCCTCGCCCTGGACACACTGGTCAACTAAACTTTTGTCTCCATCCAGCTGCAAAGAAAAGTACACCAGTTCAATAACTGACTGCAAATGAAATTGTAAATGAACATGATTATCTTCTTGGCTTTCACTGGCTGAAAACCAAAAGGTACTGGACGTATGCACAACTATAATGCAAAATGGCTTCAGAAAGAAGTCTTGTGATGCCACACAAGGCATGGAGCCCAAGAAGACTGGAAATGCCAGTATCACATCTCTATATCTGACGCCCAGTAAATGGCAAGAAGCACAATCCTGCCTTCTATCCCCAAATGGGATAGACCCTCAAACAACTCATGTAAATTCATGATATCCTTTGCTATTGCATGCAACTCTCCGGCATGTCCTCATCTTTTTAACTTCACTGTCTAGACCCCCTTTCCATCTGTTTTTTGGTCTGCCTCTATTTCTATGCCCACGTAGGTCCCAGTGCAAAGAAATTCTATTTATATATTGTCCTTCCCCGAGTGGGTTCCAGGGCCTGCTCAAAAAGCATGTCGTAAAAGTCTAAATAGGAAGTACACCTGATTGAGAGGCAAGAAAAAAAACAGTCTGCATATATTTCCACCAGTTAAGTGATTTCTGCCCCGTGTCAACTGGTAGGGTCTCTCATGTCAGTCAGTTCCAAGATTAAGAAAGAGGAATGCAAACATATTTGTCCTTTAGGTGAACCATGTTAGGAACGAGAGTGATACTTTCTAGGATAGAACTAGCTAAAGCAACACCCACCTGGTAGTGAAGAGGTGCAATCGCTGGCACCATGACTTTGGTAGAAAAACTTAGTTGCATTACTGCATGTTTTTTTTTTCATTTCACAGGGGCAAATATCGTATTGGCTAGACGTTCACCTGCCAGCCTAAAGATCCTGGTCTTGAACCCATACCAAGTTTTTTCTTCAAAATTGATCCTAGTTCTTGGATCTGCCCAGGCTAAAATGGGTACCAGATAATTTATTTTCTGGGATGTTGAGACAGCCGGCATTATGTTGACCTAAAAGGCAGCCAGCATTAAATAGTCCCAAAAAAAGGTAAAGATCCCTTTTCACGCCTAAGGCGCATCAGGTATATGGGAAGAGTGTCCCATATTTTTAGAGACCCATCGGCACTGGATAGATAATGTGGTCAGGATTACGCCGGCCCTCTGTACTTTTCCAGGACAGCCATCCTGGTACCCATTTAGGCTGGGTCGACATGCCACGCCCCATACCATGATAAAAATAAACGCAAACAGCGGTGGGTTTTCGATCGCAGTACGTTGGATTACGAGTCGGACTAGCAATGCCTAAGCCACAGCCAAGCGTTATGATGACCGAAGAAAAGGCAGCCGGCATTATATTGACCTATCTCCCAACAAGCAGTGCTCAGTCCATAAAAATATGAGTCTAGTATCATATGCTCAATTCTACACTGGTGGAGAAGGAGAAGGTTTATACCTTTACTCCATCAAATTCCCCAGTCAAAGTTGGCTGTGGTGAGTTATGTGTAAAAAACAGACTCAAAATACTTTCATCATGTTATTCATTAGTCTTTACAGTTTAGACGGGCTGTTATCTTCAGCGGATGGTCCTAGTTGTTCGTCCTCTCCTGGACTTCGGTCCTGATCCCCAACTTCATCCAGAACCGTTTTACAAAGCTGGCTTATTTGTACGCAAACTGCTGGTTCCTTGCTGCTCAGGCAGATGCACTCCAAATTTGAAGGAAACACCAATAATCCTACAACATGCTCACTCAGGGAGCAGTGGGTCTATTCTTTGTTCTCCAAACTGGAACTCACATGGAAAAATAGGCACTGTGAAGGGTTGCAGTAGCCTTACCTCAATAGAGTCCTGCAAAAAAAATTGATGGCCGGTGAGTGAGCACTGCAGCCTCACTTCCAACAGATGCTTCAGTGTGGACAGAGGTTCTGCTATGTCCATGTGTTGTATGATCAAGTTCTGGTAATGTGGTGCCGGCTGCTGGATGTAATCCTGCTCGTAGATAATCCTGATTGTAAATAAAGTGGAAAATTAAATACACAGCATAAACGAGTTTTGCACTAATTGGTCAACAGAGAAGCTTCACACATAATGGTCACTGGGGCAGAGTGATTAGTGTGCAAGTCTGCTAGTGTGGGCTTCCTGAGTGTGAAAGCAGTTCCAAGCAGTGTGAAAGACGGGGTGTTTGGAAGGGCCGAATGTAAGATGGGCGTGTGTGCCCAATTTGTGACCCTTTGAAAATAAAGTTTGTTCATTCGTGAGAGAGTAGTCTGGTTGTAATCTACAGAAAAAGCAGAATTGTTGCGGCTTATTAACCCGTAGAGATTCCTGAAAATATCCTTTAAAAATTATAAATTAGGCTTAACAGCTACAAACACCAACAATCAGGCAACAGAATTGTGCAGTGACTTACCCGTCGTCCAGACAGACTTCCTCGATTTTCTGACGTTTAAAGCCATGCATAGGCAGCTCTGTGATTATTTCAGTCATGATATCTCCATCCACAGCATTCACTGCCTCGGCTACCACTTCCATCAATGCGGGAGAGAATGCTCTCTTCATTCTGTTCCTGAAATAATGACAATGCGCTATAAGGTAAAGAAGGGAAGAACCCTATTAATACATGTGGCCCATTGTGCACATGAGCTAGCCATGAATCTTTCATGTTACTGACTAATGGGCACTCAGTGCATTCTACTATTCATCACTGGAGGTGTTTTGGGGAGACAGAGGAATCAGAGCCAAGCTGCTGAAACCATTTGAAGCTAGATATTCTAGAGACAAATCAGCACTCTGTGGGTCAGCCAGGAATCATGGTCAATTTTTCTAGCAGCTATGCTACCGTGATGTCCCGATACTATTCGAAGTGTCAAAAACAGTTAACAATATAAAGAAAATAATGAAATATAGAGATTAGCAACAATTTGTATATCAGAGCTGGCATTTGCAGATGATGTGGCCCTGATAGCTAAATCACAGGCACACCTTCAATCAAACTTACTTGTCTGGAGAGAAGAGGACTAAAACTATGATGTTATTAACAGTAGAAGAAACACCAGATCACGATTGGACAGTATGTGATGTACTGGAGCAGGTCAACCAGTTCAAATACTTTGGAGTTGTAACACACTAAACTAGTGCATTAAGACCGAGTTGGCTGTCTGTAAAGCAGCTGATGTGAGACTTTTCCTGACCATAAACCAAGGGTTTCTCAGCCAAAGAGAAACTGACAAGAGGGCAAAAACTGCTATTTACTGCTCCACTATGTGCCAGTCCTGACCTACAGGTATGAGTCATGTGTAATGACAACAACTCACAGAAGTTAGCTTCGGGCCTTCAAAATGAGATATCTGAGAAAGCTGGTCCAAGTGATAGAAAGGGACAAAGTACGCAGTCAGACTATATGTCAAGTTCTTGAAACTAAGGCCTTACAGTGGATCAGTCAGTTACAGTGGTTTAGACTTGTATGCAGAATGGTTAAAAAAAAAGGTGAAGGACCGTTATATGTTATTGGTTTATTATTATATGATGCTAGAATATTTTCAGATTGATTGACACACTGTAGCTGGAAACATTGACAATATTACAAATCCACATCAACGTCGATTTAAACCCAAAACCTTCGTGCCATCTTCTAGACACTGTGCTACCATGACTTCTGTGTGTATTAGACTTCAGTAGAGCAGGAAAATATGTACAGTCAAAATGGACAAGGTGTCCTCGACATGAAGGTGTCAGCCATTAAATCTAGCCACTTCAGCAACAGAGTCCTTAAGTCTCTTTGAAATCGCTTTATTTTCACTTTGGTAACTGTACCACTCAAAGGACTTACCTGCCAACAGAGTTTTATCCAAAACTAAAACACTTCAGTTTTGGTCCTTGGCATTCGCCGGGGAAGAAAATGTGAGGAGGGGGGGGGGGGGGGGGGGGGGGGTTCAGTTTTATAACTTTTTTAAGTTGATATAACAGCACAGACCTTTCTCAGTGGGCTGTGGGGCCACATTGTTAGGGAAAACATGAATATACACACTGCCACATCATAAAAGTAATCAGAGATGCTTTTTTTTTCAAAGTCCAAGTGCATCTGTTTAAGAGGGTAGAAACCAAAAGTCTGCACAAATAATCCACACCTGTAAAATGGACGACTTCTGTCTAAGTTTACAGTCAGTGAATGCAAAGAAAAAGAATAAACAGACCCTAGGCTTTTAGACTTTTTGAAACCCATGCTATGTGGCGCTGGTAGGCATGTCAATCCACAACCTTCTGTCTCATGTTCATTCAATCAACTCTGATACAGATGATGCTTCATCTCATGATGTAAAAACTGTCCAGCATCTTTTCACTTGTCTCCCTGTGTCTCCTCCAACTTTCCTACTGTCGCAATTTACACCAGTCTTTTCCTTATAACATGACCAAAGAATGTATATTGTCTTTTTCTGATGTGGGCAATCAGTTCTGTTTGTGAGTTAAGTTTCTTTTAAGACATTTTCATTACTCTTTTTTATCTGTCCAAGGTATTCTTGTCATTTATCTGTAAATTAAAACCACACCCCTCTGCAGCTTCCAAACAAGCTTTCACTAATCTACCAACTGTCCATGATTCACTTCTGTACATCTAGACATTCTTGTCTTGACTGACAAAAAAAGAATGCATAAAATCTTCATTTTTATGAAAAAGCTGCCTTTGCTATTCTACATTTATCTTCTTTATTAATAACAGAGCCTCAATTATATGCAAATTGCGGACTTCCTTCCAGCGAATATACCTCATGAAACACTCCTCTGAATAATGGTCCCAAATCAACGAGGGTGTCAACACTTACACTGAGTGCTAGGAGGTTTAACTTCTTTCCTGGGTCTTAGGTTTAACTTCTTCTCCCTGGGTACTAGTACTAGGTTTAACTTCTCCCCTGGGTCCTAGGTTTAGAGCCAAGAGTAGTGCCATTATTTGGAGGATAGCCTAATAATCCTATATGCTATTTTCAATTATTTCAAATTTATTTATGCCTGTGCTACTTCCTAATTTCAATAATTATATCAATAAATTATTCCTATACCTTTTCAGATCTATTACATAATTAATATTATATTATAATTATAGTCAACATACTATTATACTATACTTTCATTAGAAGTTTATTTATTTTTATATTATTTAAAATTAACCATACACATAGGTCTGTTCTAGAATGAATGGAAAATCTTACAGGTAACACTTGGTAAGATATTTAGTTTATTACTTGATACATACTACAATACATAATAATTAATTCACCAAACGTACAGGTTGAAGGTGATGATACACTGCTGAATAAAGAGAAGTCAAAAAATCCCTGTTCAGACACGTGGTTCAAGGTGACAAATTCTAACCTAAATCTGAATGTAACCTTTAATATTCAGTTATTCACCTTTAAATATTCGTTGTTATAAACCCGAGAAAAACCGCAATACTTAAATAGAATCAACCCGGTATCATGTTTTTGTTGTGAATTTAATAAACGTGCTTTCTCTCGGTCTCTACTATTATTTTCGAGCAAGTAGGACACGCTGAACAGCCAAGTGAGACCAGCCACCAAACATGGCGGAGTTTCTTCGCTTTTTCTGTCACGAATCATGGCCAGGATATTTAACTTTTAAACAAGTTTAAAGAAAACCTGCTGATCAAAGTGGTGCCATTTAATTAATGCAAAAGTTAGAAGAAAAGGAAGAGGAAATGGTCAAAGGATAAACGGATGTTTATGAAGAATACTTCCGGCCTGTTTCTCCCCCACGTTCAACATCCTGTTTAGTGTTTGACAGCTACAAGTCACCGCCGCATTGATAGACCCATAGGTCGTTAATATTTTTCTCTGAATAGAAACTTTAACAAAACACAAACTATCCACTAGTGTGGCATAAACCTTGTTTCTTACCTTATAGAATTCACAATAAAATATATTTCAACATGTAAACAAGGGTCGGTGCGTACCGGAAGTTTGACTGAAGCAAATGGTCGACATTCGTTTGTCTTCAACTTTTCTCCCCTTCACTAGGTCACGTGACTGCGCACTTCTGTGGTTGCGCATAGCAGTATGTGCCATGCCATTTGCGTATGCTATTAATAAGCTGGTGTATCAGACGCAGGACATCTTGCTCAGGATCAGTGTTGCCACTTTAGATCTTTTATATCCAAATTTAGATCTTTTTCATTGCCTTTAGATACTGTTTTTGACGTTTAGATCGTAAATATTTTTCTAGATGCTTTTCATATGGAATTAGATATTTTATAGATTTTTTTTCTTCCATTGTCAATTTAAAAATTAATGTGTAAAATATTTACTACAATATTTTTGTTTTGGTCTGGCACGTACATTGTGACAACTGCCATTACTTGAACTTTGAATTCTCACTGGGGTCAACGCACAAATATCTGGCAGCCCCGGTACTGATTAATAAAAACGCGCGTAAATCATACTAACTTTGTTTCAACCGTATCCTCACTGTGCTGACTTTGCGTTTCTTTTTCATGTGATTTAAAAAAAATTAATTGCTCACCTTCTTATGTGGCTTTCACTTTGAAAAAACCTTTCAACATGCCAAAAGTAAAGTATAAGCAAAAAATTTGGAAAGAGTGGTTGCATGATGACAAAATTAAAAACTGGGGATATGACCAAAGCTTGTTGTGAGTACTGCAAGTGTAAAATTAAAGCGAAAATACAAAACTCAAAGAGTCATGCAGAGACTTAAAAAGCATAAAACTGCAGTTTCCTTTAAAGATATTACACCGCTGACATCTGTTTTCAGAACTATACTGATAAATGAATCATCAAAGGTTGAAGTATCAGTCGCAATGTTTTTAATTTGTCACTGCGCAATTTCAAACTGTGACCATTTGATCGATTTGTCAAAAATCTTGGACTAGTTCAATTTGAAAAGTGTGATGTAGAAAGTATAGTTTAGGAACTTAATCAGCAAACAGTTAGGCTTGAAGAATTTTGCTGTAATTGGTACTGATAATGCCTTAGTGATGGTTGGTATAAACAATGGCGTTTATGCCAAGTTGAAGGAAGCTAACCCATCGTTAATACTTATAAAATGTATGCGTCATTCATTGCAGCTAGCATTATCACATGCTTCATCTAAATATTTACCAAGGAATTTGGAATACCTTATTGCTGAAACACTTTACTGGTTTTCCAAATCATTTGTCAGACAACAGCAATACAATACATTATATATAGCCTTGAATGATGGTTCCACAGCACCGACAATTCTGTCAGATTGCAAAACTAGATGGTTATCAATTTAACCAGCTGTTGAAAGAATTATGAAGCAATGGCTGAAGTTGAAGACACACTTTGAAATAACAAGACAAAGGGAAAAGTGCTACACAGCTGAAATACTATATGGAATGTACAGTGATGAAAGAAAATTGTCATGTTATAACCTATTCTGATGGAAGTGCAAAAAGTTAATAAACTGTTCGAATCTAAACTTGTTGATAAAGTTAAATTTCTTGATGATCTCACCTTGCTATTTAACTGGGTAAAAGACTGGTGTTGCCAACTTCTAAAGCTGATTTG